GTAAAATATTGGATCATCCTTCAGTGTGATTCTTGCATAGGAGACAACGCTGTCCAAGATGGACATGACCACGAAGCAACTCAAGAGCAGCAGGATTGTCTGGGTGGCCCTCAGTTCTGGGGATAACACTGGAGACGGGCTGGTGCTGTGGAGATGCTGGGACTGCCTCTTGTGCCTGCACAGGAGAGCCACCATGTATCCATTGGAGACAGCCATGATTCCTATAAAGGAGACTTCCCTGAAGGTCAGCAGGGTGGACAAGCTGTGCTGGAGGAAGAAGGTCATGGGAATGAAGGAGCAGGATTCTGTGATGTACATAAAGTTGTCTGAGGTCCAATTGTGGGTAGCAGCAATGGAGATGAAGAGGTGGCTACTGAAGGATGAGTAGATGACCCACAGGAAGAGAAGGAAACACAGGTTGTGACGTGAGGGTTTATGTTTGAACCTTGCCAAGCAGGAGCCCCTGGGGCTGAGGGTGATGGCTTGGAGGACACTCAGCAGGCAGGTGGCGCAGATGGAGAAGCCCCTCATCAACCTGTACAGGTAGACGAGCCATTTACACGTCAGGTCATCCCACCTGCCTCCCTGAGGTGTAAAAATGTCCGCAGCTATGAAGCCCTTGATGAGCAGCATTACCAGGTGGATCAGGGCCAGGAGACCAATGGGCAGGTCAGTGAGCTTAGGTCTGTGTCCAGTAATGAGCAAGGAGACGTGGACCAGAAGAAGAAGGGCATTGGCCATGACCCCAACGCCAATCACGGTGTACACGGTGTTTCTTATGTGAGTGTTACTGTACAGTCTGTTGGCTTTGTTCATCTTATGGGGGAAAGAATTCTGTGAACACCTTCAGAAAAAGACAAGAAAATGTCCTTTTTGCAAATATGTCCTTCATCAATCCCAATGGACAACCCTGCAATCAGGAAAATAAAGAGGATTCATCAAAACATGCCTTCATTCCACATGATGAGTGAATTCTGGTGCTGGGTACAGTGATGCCTGCCTGAAATCACAGTGACTGAGATGCTGGGTGCTTGTGAGGCTGAGGCAGGAGGATCACAAGGGTGATGCTACCATGGGTGTCTTAGTGAGACCCTCTCTCAAAATACACAAAGAAAAGGACTGGGGTGTAATTGGTGCTGGTGCACTTAACCACCGAGCAATCTCCAGCACAAAATAAAGCAACAAACAAACAAACCCCCTTAGTTCTGTCTCACACCACCCAGAACCCATGCCCCTGCTCTCCCTTGTCCTCACATCTCCCAGTCTCGGCTGGGTTATATGTGCCCCTGGGGCCTCCACAATGTCATTCAGAATGATACTTCTGTTTTCTTGTATATTGATCATTGCCGTCTGGGCACAGTGGCACACTCCTGTAATCCCAGGTGCTTGGGAGGCTGAGGTAGGAGGACAGCCTTAGCAACTTAGGAAGGCACTGAGTAACTTAGCACAACCCTATCTCTAAAAGAAAAGGAAAAAAAAGTGTGTGGTGGTGTAACTCACTGTTCAGCACCCCTGGGGTCAATCCCTAGTCAAAAAAATTGCCATTTTTCTTAGAAAATATTTTCCTCCTATAATCTCATGTCTGAGATTTTCTGGTGAAGACAGAGTCATACTTGATTTTCATGTGCCTGTTCTTGTTGGTCAGGTACATAATGGTAGCTCTACAGTTTTGGGTGAATTGGAGTGAGGCTGATGATAGGAAAGAGGAAATGAGCCCCTCCTAAGCAAAGAGTATCACAGATTCAATATGCACAGAGTTACTGCATGTCAACACCATGTTAATTCTGGATTATTTATGGCCACACCAAATATTTACAATATATAAACAAGAAAATGTTGGTGTGAAGTCTGCAGTCAGACTGATACGCGTGTGTATATGAGCTGCCACTCACAATAGCATTATCTTAAGCTCTCTGTGATGCTGCGGTCCACTTATCTCAGCTATCAACATAAATAGGCACATTATGTATACCCTGGAGGTATTATTGGTGTAATAAATATAGTATGTATATCAACATTGGAAGTGTTTGTGGTACAAAATGAATTCTCTAAAAATGTTGTCTTCTATTTTTTTGATCATACGGTTCTTAATGCATGTGGCTTGGAAGAATCAATTCAGTTATTTTCATAACAGAGCAGCTATGTTGCTGCCCAAAAAGAGAGGAGAGAATTTGGAAAATTCTGCTGAGCCTGGATGCACAAGGCTGTAATCCCAGCACCTTGGAAGGCTGAGGCAGGAGGATCGTGAGTTCTAAGCAAGTTTCAGCAAATCAGCAATAAAATATTAAATATTTCTCTAAATAAAATATGTCTCTAAATGAAATATTAAAAAACAGTGCTGGGGAAGGGGCTCAGTGGTTAAGCATCCCTGAGTTCAATGTCTGGTACAAAATATTAGAAATTTCCAATATAGTAGAACATTTCCACAGTCTCTTTCAGATAACTCTTTTGAAATTATAGGTCTGTTCCTGGAATCCTCTGATGTGACTGTACATGTCACTTTTTTTATCCTCAAGCCGGAATAACTAGCCTCAGGTAGAATATTCCAGAAGTATTACCAAGAGCGTAGTCCGTTTTTTGGTCCTTTCCCAAGATTTACAATCAGAGTAATAATTAGAACTACAAGCAAAATAGAGTTGTTGTTTCTTTTCAAGGTTTTGATTAAAGGACAAGTATCCAACCTAATCTTGAAAGATGGTTCCCCAGATATTATCTGGATTACAAATTAAAGGTGACATTTCTCCAGACTCAAGAGTCCCAAGCCTGAAATTTATGCTGAAAAATTTGATGAATGATCTGTTGGGATAATATTTTTTTTTGTAGAGTGTGTTTATTTTATTAAATATAACTCATGTGAGATATACAGTATTGTAAAATATTTCTGCCACATTGTAGAAAAAAATTATCATCTGAAAATCAAACACATAAGGGTAATGTGTTTTATGGCTACTGGTTTAATAATGTCCGATTCTAAGGGGAAGAAAAATGTTAATCACTCGCAAACATTGGAGCCCATTGAACAATTCAGACCTGAAGCAGGTATTTCATTAAAACTTTTGGAATACAGATTTCCTGATGCAAAAATTTATAATGTTATTTGAAAAAAAAGGTACCTGTAATAAGACTCATGGACCTTGTATACCAAATAGTAATAAATTCCTGGTTAAGTAAATCTTACTGCCATATTGCTATTGATTTGTAAATTCTTCATATAAATTATGGCTTTGTTTTCCTATTCTTTTTTCTCAATAAAGAAAAGCCAGTACAAAAAAACCAAAGGTGATCAAGGAGAAAAAAAAATTCAGGTTTTAAAAAGTCATGATCAAGTAATGTGACAAATTTCTCCATTCACTTATCCAACCTATTTGAGTTGGTTGCAGAGTAATCCCAGAAACACAAAGTAAAATATCAAAGTTACACACATTTCTAATATTTTTTTTCATTGTAGTTGGACACAATATCTTTATTTTATTTATTTATTTTTATGTGGTGCTGAGGATCGAACCCAGGGCATTGCACGTGCTAGGTGAGTGCTCTATCACTGAGCCACAACCCCGCCTATCTCTAATCTTTATTATTCACAAAAATGATGACTTGAAACCTATATTTACTGGTAATGATATAAGCGTGTTATAGTTTGTAAAATAAAATGTCCAGTGATAGCTTTCAAAGAATAATACTTATTGGTTTGTTTATTTTTGTCATCAGGGATTGAACCGAGGGGTGCTTAACTATTGAACAGCATCCCCAATCTTTTTTTAAAAATTATTTTTCTATTTTTGAGACATGGTCTTTCTAAGTTGCTTAGGGCCTCACTAAGTTGCTGATGGTAGCCTTGAACTTTCCTCAGGCTTCCAAACTGCTAGGTCAAAGAATAATCCTAAATAGATACATATTATCAACGAGGAGCTACCATTGTAAAATCATTTAAAATTACTTTAGCTCGTGAAATACCATTTTTCTTTCATTGAGTTGAAATCATTCAAAAAACCTGCAGTGACACCGCATTCTATTGCGTGTCTGTATGAATATGTAACCACAAACTCCACAGTTATGTACAATGATACTGTGTCAATAAACACTAAAACAAAGAATATTAAGTAAACCAAGGAATTCATCTAGTGAATAAATAAGAATAAAAGCATGAGCAGTAGAAATACTTTACATTAACGAGCTCTTCAAGGAGTACAGTTTAATAACCTATAAATCAGGGCACTGAATGGGGTTGGCTGCAGTGTTCCTTTGGAAACTCTAATCCTGTCAACCTAAAAGTTTTAGGACAGGCTAGGGTGTACAGATGCTATGAATTGACATTAAGATTCAGGAAATCATAGCTCCAGTGGAGCTTTAAAAATGACTAAAATATTTTTTTTTTCTGGAAATGAAATTCCTCTATAGCAATATGAAAAAAATGAACCTTCTTTTGAGTGCAGATCAAGGAAATTGGCATTGATCTCACATCATCAAAAGCACCCCATTAGCTTCCTCAAAGTACAGCCAGGCTAGACCAGAGTACCCTAGTCACACTCTAACTTCCAAATCCCACACACTCAACACTATCAGCAAGCTGTGCATGCCAATCACCTCAGTTGGACTTTATCTCCATATCATGCAATAAGTGACTATTTTAAAGAAATGTGTTTAGCTGCACCTGCGCTGATGAGTCGTTTCAGTGGAAAAACAGTCTGGTGAGCATGCTCCCTTTATGAAAACAGAAATTCTCTAGCATGTCCCCTTGTACCTGGCTAGCACAGCAGGGTCCTGGAGATCAGGGGACAGGGCAGGGTCGGCCACCAGCAGAATGGTTTCAAGTTGATAGAGAGGGCTGGGGACCCCTCAAAGGAGGAAAACCCAGCTAAGTCTCCTTTATTAGATGGATCAGGGTCTGAACATATAAGACATTGTTATCATCTCGCAGCTGCCAAAATTTCATACTAAACCTGCGATACAGGGTGTCATCCAATAGGTCCCCAAACTAGTAAGGAGGGTTCAGGATGCTGCACCTGAACTTGGGGTCTGAGGGGGAATGGGAGAGTGGAAAGGAAGGAGAAAAGCTGTTTGTAGGCTGCAACGTGAGCTTGGACACTTAGGTCGACATATTCCAGAATGAAGAAGGGACCAGTATCTCTTTTCTGAAACCTGAAGTGGTCATGCCTACCTTTTAGGGTGCAGATAAGGTGTAAATAACACGATATATCTCTGTCACTTAGCACTCCATGTCCACCCCCCCCACACAGGAGTTTGTCATTGTCACCTAGGTGATTTTTTTTTTTTTACCATAGTTCAAGTTTACCATCATTATCGTCTCTATTATTTTCTTCTAGAAATGGTTTTAAAATTTGATCTCTTGGAAGGTGAGACTGATCTTGCTTCAGGCAAGTGACTCAGGAAATATGGATAAAGTGGGCTGCAGGCTGTATATATTTTTTTGACCCACATTGAGCTGGGAGAGTAAGAAGAGCATTATGAAGGAACAGCTGGTGTGTTGGGGGGAGACAAAGCCCTCACCAGCTAGGTGACAGTGCTGCCTTCAGGGATTCTCTGAAATAAATGACACACAGCGTGTGGGCCTCAAAACCCTGGGATACACTTGAGGAAATAAGTGGAAGTCCTATTTTTGAGAACAGGGTAAGAGTTTTACAAAATGCCCGGTAAATTAAAAGATTTGTCAGCATAGCTTGTGTTCAGAATATTGACATTACCGATATTTTAAAATAAATCTTCAGAAATTTTGGGAGAAGAAGAGATTTTTTTTCCCAAAGAAATGGGAACTGAGCAGAGTCCTGCTAGATTATAATCCCAGGAAAATCCCCCAAATCCCAAAAGCTAAA